ATGATTCCATTATACAAAATGTCCAGAAAAGGCAAAACTTAAAGAGACAGAAAGCAGGTCAGTGGATGTCTGGGCCCAAAGGTAGGGATTTCCTTGAAATAGTCATGAGGGATTTTGTTGGGAAATAGTAAATACTGGATTGTGGCAATAGCACAGCTCTACAAATTTATTTAAAATTATTGGTTTGTATATTTACAGTGAGTGAACAATATAGAATGTAAACTATGCCTTACAAAGCTGTAAAAGAATGATCAGCAATAGGTAGGATTTGGGGGAGGTATAGATAAAACAAGTTTGGCAATATATTAATACTTGTTTGAAGCTGGGTCATGATTAGTAGGGGTTCATTATACTAATTCCTTCTACTTTTGTGTATGTTTGAAATTCTCAAAACACAAGTTACAAAATAAATAAAAACAAAGTAGTACCACATTTATGATTAAATGATGCATTTTCTTCTTTACTGGCAGAGCTAGACCGCAGAATACGGCTTGGACTTGAGGCTGAAACTGGACTTCCTAACACTTCCTCCCCACCCCACTCCCGATCTGGACCTTGAGATTTGCCCGCGAGTGAAGTCAGTTCTGCAGAGCAGATGCTTCCTCCAGCCGGATACACGGATATCCAAAGCTTGTCTTGTGTGTGGTCACAAACAGGAGAGAGACAGAGAGGAAAGGAGGAAGGGAGAGAAGGAAAGGCGAAGGAAGAGAGAGAGACAGAGAAGAGAGACAGTTTGAGGCAGAGATCCAGACCAGCAAGCCTGAGTTTACACACAGAAGCCAGACTGCCCCACGGAACTTGTAAACATCTCGACTGATTGAGTTGTGTTCTTTCTCACTAATCAGATAAGTGAATTCTTGTTCCGTGGGAAGAGCTAATGAAGACTGGGAAAAAGGATGGCAGTTTATTGTCCAATCATTTCCACGACAGAAAAAGTTTTAGAAAACGACGGGCCCAGACAAGACGTCAGGGACGGGTAGAGTCCCCTACAAGGGAAATGAAAATCAGCTGATCGAACACATCTGAGTTGTTTGCCTGTTCCAGATCATCCTGAAAAACTGTCTTATCTCAGTCACAGCTGTCCCTTGGCTTGACCTTTGTAAGGAATGAATCTTACCAAGTTGCAACCTCAACCTGCTGCGCCTTACTTTTGGAGGTGGAACAGTTACATGTAATATTACAGAAAGAGGCACGCAAGACCTTTGTGGACTCTGCTTTCAAGACTTGACCAAGCAAAGCTTTTAACAGGCAGGGATTCGTATATGAATTCAGCATTGAAATAGGAAAATGGATTAGGAACTCCTCTCCACCTTGTACCCAGCAAAGTTTTGAACAGGCTCAAAGATGTCCAACATAGAGAAGATTAAATAAAACGAAACGATGTTTATGTATCGAATGTGTCAGTGTCACGTGGAAACCTTCATACAAATGCATATCCAGGCTCTACGCCTTGACATTCTGATCAGCAGGTCTAGTGCTTTGGCCCCAGGATTTCGTGTTTTTAAAATATCTCTGATTGGCTCTGACAGCAACTGTTTTTGAACGAATGTACAGTTTAATGGAATGCTTTAAACTCAGCAGAACTTCACTGTTGCAGTCCCTCCTCGTTAGGATCTAATGGACCACAGAACACTTTGAAATCAATTAGAAATGTACTTTCTTAAAGCAGTTTTAGCTCCAGGCCTAATTCAAATCGTGGCCCTATAGTCTCCACCACAGATCTGCCTCAGTGTGCTTCTCAACTGCAGGTAAGTGACGTCAGGCTGGAAATGAAGCCAGGATAAAGGACAGGAGTGAAAGTGGACATTCTTATGAAGTCAGGCAGAAGGCCAGAGAAGATGTTTAATAAAACTTAGTGTCCACTCTTGGTTAAAAAAAAAAAAAAAAAAAAACTCTCAGCAAAGGAGGGATACGTAAAATAATGTATAACATAATAAACACTAGCTAGTTTGCACCAATAGAAACACACTGAATTGGGTCAGGGGCTGATGTTTGCTTCACAGTATTAATTACCCCCTTCCTCCTTCTCCACAGAACCTCAATTTCAGGGTGCAGCAAGGTGCTCAGCAGAGCGCTCCATTTGACAGCTCTCCAAGGGGAACAGTCGGGTGCAGCCAGCTGGAACCAAAGCCCCCAGTTCCCGAAAGGGCCATGGAATAGGCTTCGGACACCAGCGTTTGAGCTCCCCGCCTGCTGCCTGGGGAGCCTGGAGCGGGTCAGGCAGCCTCTTTGAAATTCAGTTTCTTCACTCGGAGCAGGAAAAGTCTGAGCCAAATTATATCTTACCTTCCAACTATGATATAAATTTGTAGATATTTGTAAAAATTCTTATTTACTTTAACAACATATCTGTAGAAAATGTCATTCCACCTCCTGCCTGCCGGAACATAATTTTTACTCTTCTCCCAGTTTGCAGTAGCCATGCATTTTGAGTGAATGCAGCTCAATTTATGGCCACCTTAATTGGTTCGGGGATGTGCACAGGATTCAAGCCTAAGCCAGTTGCTTGCTGCTTGTTGTTTCACTGGCTAGAGAACTGGTTCAAAAGCTCAGTATGTGTCTTTCTGTCTCCTGGAATTTCACCTAGAAAACTTATCATGAATTGCTGCTGGCAGCCATCTTTTCCTCACAACTGGAAGCCAACCTGAGGGCAAAGCTGAAGTATGGAGGCAAGTAGAGCAAAGAGACACATGGAGAAATACCACTAGGGGCCTTGATCAAACCATGCCTGAAGCTCAGCCTACCTCTGGATGCTTCATGCCTTCAAGTAAATATATACTCTGTTATTTAAGAGCATTTTTTATTACTTGTGATCACAAGTATCATGCCTGGTAAAATGGCAATGTCTTAAAATCTAAGTCCTGGGTCATTAGAATCTTAGACCAGAAAGATTGAGGGAGGGAACTTGTTCTTCCAAACACTACACAGTACCGGGTTTGGCTCTCTGAAGTGTGACTGTAAAATGATGGGGTGAGGCTGAAACCAAATCCTTGGGATATATTTTTAGATGACAGACTCCAGGGTAGGGATTTTATACCTATTATTACCGTAGTGTCAATTAATAGTTTTTAGGCCCTGCCTATTTAGCACCTGGCTGGTTAGCATCTGGCTGCCTGGAACGTTACAGGCACTCAATAAATATTTCTTGAGTAAATAAATAAATGGATGAAAGGAGATGATGCAAGGCAGGGGGAGGGAGGATGGCATATGTCAGCATCCTAAATGGACTCGTGTCAATTTTGTAATGTGGAAGTGGGCTGCACCAGCCCGGAAATTCTCTAGGAATCCATTGCCATAGCCAGGGTTTGTGAATCTGAGATTCGTGTCTCCCCAAACAAGCTATACACGTCAGCAAGGAGAAGTTGCAGCCAATGCAGCAACTCAGTGACAACAATCAGGAAAGGAGGATGTTGGGCCAGTTAGAGTCTCTCCTGATGAGTGGTTTAGGCCGTCCCTTGGCGAGCCCTCCTTTCAGCGGGCACTGCAATGCCACAGAATTGTGTTGTGTGACTGAGCGCCTTCATTCAGTCTCCCGCCTTGGTTTCCTTGCAACTTGCAGCACGATTCATCCAAGAGCAGGAGATCTCCTATGCTGATTCTGATCTTCTCCTCTTCAAAACACAAGGCCATTTGCTTCAGAAAGCTCCCATTTGGTTCTCTTGCAATACATACAGCACAAGCGCACAAACGCTTGAAGCAAAAGATCTTTTGAAACATATACTTGAAAGAAGACTACGCAGGTGCCTCTGGACATAAGGACGTACTTTTATAGGATATGACAATCTATCAAAAGCCTGGGCCCTAAATGTAAAATCTCAGGAGAAAAGATATATAAATGAATTAAACACATTAACTGAGTCTTGTTATTTGTGACATAAAGTTGAATAAAATTTTATAGCAGATTACACTTTTTCTTCAAGAAAACTACGTCCTAAGATAGACTCAATTTTCCTTTTGTCATTCAGAGAAAGAAACAAAATACCCTGTATCCATTCTTGCCAAGTTCTCAAATGGAGTGTTTTCTTTAATGTTAAGAAAAGATAAGCCCTACATAAACTTGGTATTAAAACGGATAATTTCTCTTCTCAGACTAGTCGTCCACCTCCACGGGCTCATCCTACGTCACAGCGTGGCGCGAGCGGGGGCGCGCAGTGAGGCTGCACGGCGCAGAGGAGTGACGTTTCAGATGGAAATGGAAGCTGGTCGCCAACGCAGCGGCCCCCGCGCTGAGGGCGCACGCGCACTGCAGTGCGACAGGCGCAAGCCGAGCTGGGTGGAGGGTTGGGAGTTCTCTGTGACGCGAGCACAGACAGCGACTCTCCTGCCTCCACTAGACAGAGGGAGTGAAGCCCTGATTTCCCAGCATACTTAATGCGCTGGAGCTGCCGCCGCGCCCGGGGGTGCCGTGCGCCTCAGTGACAAGGCGTGGCCACTGGCTTCTGCGTCGTGGGCCAGCACCATTTTGGAGTTTTATTTTGCTGCTGCTGTACGCCCATGGAAAGATGCCAATCCCAACTGAAATCTAAGAAGAAGGAAGAGAAGAAATGAGATCTCAGCTGCGAACGATTCATCATCAGCCTTTCCAAAGGGGAGATGTTGGCAGAGGTCACCGAGGTCAAAGCTGAGAGCGGATCCCCCCTCGCTTGGAAGAAATCGGCTGGCTGGCGCTGCGTTAGCTCGAGGCAGGTGCAAAGCCTTAAGTCGTCCATCAGCAGCACCTGGTCTGCTCCTGATGGACGAGCAGAAATAATTAGAGGTGTCAGAATTTTCTGGAAAAAATCCAGATGACGGAATTCTCTGGGGTGAGTGCAGAGCAAACAGAGCTTAGGAACACATTTCCTCGCTTTCGCTTTCTGTCTCACTGTGTGTCTCCCCAGGAGTGTGCAGTCGCGGCAGGAACCTGTCTGGGCTGAGAGCCGGGGACAGAAGTGTGTGGGAGCCGCCCCGTCCCTGCCCCGCCCACGCGCTCGCACCTGGCCCGCCGCTCCTCCACGTGGCGCCGTGAGGAGGGCCGGCGGCGCTCGGTAGGCCACCTCCAAACCGAGCCTGGGCGACGCCTGCAGTAGGGCAGAAAGCGCTGCTGGCTGGCGCGTCCGGCTGCTGGCTCCTACACGCTACCGGTGGCAGGAGCCGGGCGCGCTGCGGTGGCTGCGGGACTCCCGTCCTCCTGGGGACAGTCTGCAAGGTGGGCAGGACTGCATCCAATGAACGACGGAAGAGACACAGTGCGCAGTGAGCGGGTCCTTCCATTTCTTCTTCCACTCAGGGCTCTCGAAATAAAGGCTGAACAAATATTTAAATGATTTTAGCTTGAGGTGGTGCCAGCTGTTTGGCCTGACAGGAACATCCACAGCCTTGTCTCTCTTCCTCCACCCAGGAGGGCGTGTGCCTCTCAGCCCGGAAGCAGACAGGTGACCACACGCAGCAGGTAGGCACATCGAGCGGCAGCAGCAATTTCCTTGGGGACTTGCTGGGCACTTGGTGGCGAGGGAACCTGGGGATTCTCGGGCACTGGCGACTCTCTCTTCACGGGAGGACCTGGAAGGCAGGGAAAGGGTGACTCCAGGAACACTTGAAAGTCCAGGCTTATCTGATGTTAGAGTAGGAAGGAACTGGAAATCCTGGTGTTGAGAAACATTTTCTTAGAGGATTCTTGCTTTTTTCTGTTTCTCAGACTCGTTCTGGAAAGCCTCACAGTGAGCGAGAGGACCGGCGGCTCCCCTGGTGGGAGCTGGAGGCTGGCCCGCGCGGCTGGTGCGCGGTGGTGCACTTGCTCAGGACCCCACGGCACAATGGGAGCTCATTCTAGGTGAGGAAAAAGGTGTCAAGGTTCTTACTTATATAGAGTCATCAATCTATTAAATAAAAATAAAGCCAAAAATCCAATTGGATGGGTTAGGACTTTCAAGAGATGTCAGATGTGGATCTTGTACTGGGGACCTCTTTACCTGGCGGGGCAGAAGGCTGCATGCGAAACCTCCTGTGTGTGAGCCACGCGGTGCCAGGTGACAGAAGTGGATGGCGTGCTCTGGGAGCCCACACCGGAGAGTTTGCATTCACCTGTGGAGATGCTCAAGGTGACCCTGAAACAAGGTCTCATGTCATGGGGGACGCTGTGGTTCCTGGGGGTATGAATGTCAGGTGGGGGAGGGTCTAGCAGAAGAATGGAGAGACAGACACCGAAAGTGTGCACAGATTTCATGCAGTAGGCTGCGGAACTTACATTTTGTATAAAGGAATTCTTGGAGGGGGTTCGAATAACAGGCTCAGATAATGTAAAATCTTAAACATCAGCTTAAAGAAGGTGTCTTTTATTTGGTGGGTGATTTACTGTTTTGACATGGGTAGCAACCAAAGAATCAGAGCTGAGTGGTAGGGAAATTAGTCTGGCAGAGGTTTTCAGAATAGCTGGTTGTAGGTGCAAACTTCAAAAAATTAGATAGCGACAGAATGGAAAGGAAAAGACACGTGTGTGAGACCGATTAACATAGCTACATTTCCAGTGCCATCAATGTGGCACAGCCGGGACCCAAAGAGCTGCCACGTGTGGAAAAGCTCTGTCAACTTTTAGTGCCAGTTGAAGGACAGGCACAAAGGGTCATTAAGGGGAAGAGAGTTATGAGTTTAAAATTTGGAGCTCTATTCCAACTTTGATGCCCTGATTAAGTGACTATGGGCCACAATTTCCTCATATAATTTAGAGTTAAGACGGTGTCTTAGGAAGAATCAAGATGATGACACAGGTGTAACCTCAGTTTCCCAGAGGTCATGAGGCTGGTGCAGACGTGGTCCAAGTGACAGTAACTCCGATACTCTCGTGGTTTAATCCCCACCTGCAAGACTGTGTGGCCTCAGCTCCTTCCAAAGTCTACATCTACTATTTACGGCACCTTCAAGGTAGGGTTGCTTACAGTTCGGTGAATCATACTCAGGCTAAACGATGGGTGTGTCAGGCTTCTGTAGTTGGCTACAGAACTCTGTGTCTACCAATAATTCATATGGAAGCATAGAAGGCAGAGTGGATTTTCCAACATGACCATGTCATATGCTTTCTTCAAACCCTCCACTGGTTCACCACGACTTGTAGATAAAGACCAAGTTCACAAGCATGAGTTTAAGCCCTGCTTAGCGAGTCCCCCACCGACCCTCTCATTCTCATCTTGCTCCACACTCCTCTCTCACGCGCACCTTGCCCTTCCTGCTGGAGTACTGACACGTGGTCCTCTCTTCCCGGGGCCTCTGTCTCCGCTGCTCACCTGTTAGCCGCAGTCGCACTGCTCGGGATTGTAGCCGCCAGCCGCATGTGGCTATTAAGCATTTAACATGCAATTAGTACAAACTGTAAAACGTACTCTGGATTTCAGAGATGTAGCAGAGAAAAAAGATTAAAAATATCTCAATAATTCAAAAATATTGATTATATGCTGAAATGATAATATTTAGGATCTAAGGGATTAAATGCAATATGTTATTAAAATTAATTTTACTTTTTTTTCAGTAAAACAACTCTAGGAAATGCTTTTTATTTTAAAAAAGTCATAAAATCTCACCACTCAACATTCTTGTCCTGGGTTTGTTTCCTTTTATCCTGTTAAATTTTTTTTTGGAATGTAATATAGTTTATTTTTATTCTTTTTTTCTGTTTTATTTTTTAATTGACAAATAAAAATTATATATATTTATGGTGTACAACATGATGTTTTGATATACGTAGACATTGTGGAATGGCTAAATCAAGTTAATTATTACCTCACATACTTACCATTTTTTGTGATGAGAAAACTTTAAAAATCTACTTTCTTAGGATTGTGAAGGATACAATACATTGCAATTAGCTATAGTCACCATGATATACAATGGATCTTTCAAACTTACTCCCCTGTCTAATGGAAATTTTGTACCCTTTGATCAACATCTCCTCAATCCCCCCTCCATCTTCCAGTCTAATTTTACTTTTTAAAAAATATTTCATAATGTAGCTGATAGAAAACCTCAAATGATGTGCGTGCTCACGTTACAGTTCTCTTGGACAGCTGTGTTCGGTTCCCTGCCGTCTTCACTTGGCCAAGGATGTCTTGCGACCTCGCCCGACTGCATGCATTCGTCCTGTTGCGTGTCCCCACAGCCTCTGGGCTGCGGCACCCACCGCGCTCCTCTGAGTCACGTTCGGTTCATGCCTGCATCCTCCCCTGTGAGTGGGGAGCAACCCCGTTCATCGTTGCCTCTCCAGCACTTTATGTGCTTCTCCCTCCTCTGAGCAACTATCTGTATATTTGGATACATAAGCGAGTGGCGTTTATATGAAAGGACCTTTGCAACTGGCTATTGATGCAGAGCTAGGGATGAGGTCTGATAAAAAAGAATATATGGGAATTTAGAAGTTCTCATTTGGCTACAGAGTGTGGTCCAATTGTGAAAGATAAAGCTTAACAGAAATAGTCCAGCACACAGATTCAGAAACTCAATTGTATCAGTAAAAGACGGGGAAACATTTGTGAGTCTGTGGGTCCTGGGCTTCTAATCAACTACAAACTCAGTGTTAGCCATCACGGCGAGGCCGCCATCACACGTGATGATGCATATTCTGTCATCCAGATGGAAGTACGAATCTCCCCAATCAACTATACATGTGTCAGAAGAAATCTGGTGTGCTGCATATCATTCTAAGTGACCATCCAAAGGAATTTAACCAGCAGGGAAAGAAGAAGACGTAAAACCTCTATATTTATCAAAGTTGAATGAAATGAGAATGTTTTACCTGAATAACTTAGAGAACAGGACATCAGTTTTCAAATACTAGAAGATGCAATACCAAAGAGAGACACAGACGTTTTGTATTGCTCCAGATTGTAGAACCAGGATCTGTGAGCAGCAGTGGCACAGTCCGGATTTTCAGCTTAATATGAAGACCCTGGGAAGTAGAATTTTCCAGGGAGTCAATGTTTTATTTTACATCACAACATAATTGATTTCTTCTTATTCACAGGTGTCTAAGCAGGGACTGGGTGTGGAACGGTTTGTCAGGTCCACCTAATTAGCTTTGTGGGGCCCAGTGTGCAGTGCAAGTGCAGGGTCCCTGTCAGGGGCAGGGATCTGTCACCCACAGCCTCAATGCCCTGTGCGGGTGGCTCTCAAGGAGCTGCAATCTCTGTGCCAGGAAATGTGCTGTGCCTGGATTGAGGGTGGGTGAGAGACTGCCACGGAGCCACCAGGCTTGGGAGCTGCTGCCACTGTGCCCTTTGCCAGAAACGGAGGGCGTGCATGAGCCTGGCCCCCTCTCCCCTGGGGACAGAGGGCCATAGCAGAAGGCATGGCCCACTGATGACATGGCCCACTTGCCACTTGGACAGCAGCTGCCATCGGTGGATGGAAGGTGGGGGGCAGGGCCTGGGGCCAGGAGGGGAGATTGGGCAACCACAAGCCCATCCCGGGGAGGCTGGGGGTGGGGGGCTACACCAAATGTATAAGTAGATGCTCTAAGTTGCCAGGGCTTGTCCTCTGGCTCCGTCAAACTTCACTTGCAAAATATCAATTGAAAGATAAAATTATTAGGGATGTTGAGACAGCCACTGCAGGGCCTTAAGCCTCAAGGTGGTCCTTCTGAGCACAGGGCCCCGAGTGACGGCATGACTTTGAGCCTACGTGTTTGGGGCATGAAAACCTTCTGGGAGAACAAAGGAAACGGCTTATTCTCTGGTCATTGGCCAGTCTGGTTTGGGGCGGAACACAGAGTTCAGGGAGTAAAGATGACAATGAGAAGACCATGTCAGCTGCAGCAGAGGAGAGATTTCTGCTAGAACAGGTGAGCAGACACTGGAGAGCAGGGCTGGAGGCCTGCTGTGTGAGTGATGAGGGCAGGTCGGCCAGGACAGCGGGGCTGTGAGGGAGGCAGCGACCGTGCCCTGCTCTGAGAGTGAGCACAGGATATGTCACCTGGCCCGGCTCTCGGATGCGTCCCTGGTGTCAGTGACAGACCCGCGCACACTCGTGAGATCCACTCCATCCCTACCAGCACGTGGGCGAGCAAGGCCACTGTGCTCCGGCCGCCTCTGTTCCGCTGACTTCGCCGTGGCCTCCCAGGCACTTGCCCTGTGATCACTGAGGGATGACTGCATGCTCATCCTCCTGGGAGCATGAGAAAAACCACATTGAGATTCCATTGTTTGAATTTAAGTTATAATGATTTGAAGCATAAATGCCTTAGAAAGCAGCCGACACTATCTGTGGGCGCTGTCACATAGAGAAAACAGCTCTCTCTAAACTTCTGTTCTCCTATCATTATACACAGTTATTTGTTTCTATTTATTATTAACATATTTCCCTGCTATCTCATATGGAATAGCTTTTGAAGATTCCCGTGAGCCACAGCTGGAAAATTCCTTCTTTGAAGTGCCCCATTTATTCATCTTTTGTCAGTGGCAGGCTTTTTATGCTCAGACATTTTATACTTTTCAGTCATTTCAAAATCTATTTCATTTGACGTGGAGTCAATTTGTCATTCTGCACACATCCCCATGTCTCTTTCCCCCATTTTTCTCAATTTGGCATTCTGCTAAGTTCTCAGCGGACTTTTCTTTTTTTCCTCGGTAAGCTGTACTGTGGCACCTAGAAAGACACTGGAAGTCCCGGCTCCAAGATGCTCATACCTGCCGTTTCCCCGTGGGCTCCAACCAGGCCCCGAGCGTGTGGGTGATGACTAATGGAAGTTGGGGACAGGAACGCAGGAATTTGTCCAACAATAAGACTGCTCACAGATGTAACTCTGGAAGTGGTGCTTGTTGGAAGACGTCAGTCTGACTTCACGTGCAGTCAAGGAGCGGCCGTGTTTGGTCAGCCTGGCTGCTGCGTGCGGTTCTCCCAGGAGAACAAACGGACCAGTCCCGCACACGGGTGGGATTTGCATCACATTATCTAGGTGTGGAGTGAACCAAGATGACAAGCCCACGGTTCTGAGACTATTTCAATTTCAGCAAAGAGTATCTTCTAGAAACAGCAACGCAAAAGGGCCTTTTTTCTAAACTCATTCTAGCTGAGTATTACCATTTTCATCTGACTTAATGCGGAGAAAAGGCAATTTGACGTAGTGGAAACCCAGAGCGTTACTATCTTGGTATCGACCTTTTATTTAGTCTGATAGCAGGCATGGTTCAAACTCAGTAAAAACTGCCTACTTGACTCAGCTACTAACAGTCAAACCACACCTAAGTTTGCATAAATCTTAGATGACAGCCACCTCATTGTGCTCAGTGCACATCAGAACTCCTTCAGGATGTTTCTTTTCATTTTGGAAAACTTCTTATAAGAGCCTCTTATAACAAGTTTTTATTAATGTCATGATATATGGTCAACTTCTATAACTGTGTTGTAGGCGTTTGAACATGCAATCTAATTATTTATAATATGTAAAATTCAACATATTTAAAAACATTATTCCTTAAATTATTAGTATGCCTTACTGTGCTTATTTATTTTTGTCTAATTGATCTCTTTTTTTTTCCTTTTTTTTTTTATTTTGGCATATTATGGGGGTACAGATTTTAAGGTTTCAATAAATGCCCATTTCCCCCCTCCCCCACAAGTCTGAGTCTCCAGCATGACCATCCCCCAGATGGTGCACATCTCACTCATTATGTATGTATATACCCGCCCCCCTCCCCCCTCCCACCTGCCCAAAATGTCTAAAAAGACATAAAAAGCCTCATTAAGATTGTGGTTTTGTTCATTTCTCTGTGTTTACTTTATATTGATAGTGCTTACCTGTAATTTGGCATCTAAATATTGATGATCATATCTTCAGTATGGGTTCTATTTTGATTGATTTGTAAAATCCACCTCTTTCAAGCACTTATTACTATTATTAACATCCACCTCAATTTTCTATTCTGGCTACATCAGAAGCAGCTCCCATGCCTGACGTGTGACCGTGGAGTTGCTTCCTGGTTGGAGCAGACATTGGGAGGATGCCGCTCCAGTGTGGCTCTTGCATGTCACCTCTGATTTATTGGAAAGACTCTCACTCGGAGGCTCTGGAATTGCATTTGAACATCTTTTGCTCAGCCCAGCTTCCCTGATCTTAAATGTAGTAGAAGCTCCTCTGGTGTTACCTAGCTTGCCAGACACAGTTTTCAGTGTTAACGATTTTTTTGTGGTTTATTATAAAAGAAAATATATGTATTCAAATAATACAAAGTTTGGCTGTAGGCTCCAGGAATGAGAATAATCATACCAGGTAGCAGGAGGCTATGGAGACTGCAGTTAGACCTAAATGTAGGGATTAAAACTCCCCTGGAACTCAGTGGGAAAGCACGTTTTATCTTAAGAACCAGGAAAGTAATACATTGAGTGTGTTAGTGGGACATGTTGGAATTTAAAAGCTAGCTATGTGGGTTAAACTTCCTCTACTAGTACCCTGTAATTATGAAATTCCAAATTTCTAATTCCTATGAAGGT